ACACCCCCCCCTCGCTCGCCCTCCACGCGCAGCCCTCTGTGTGCTCCGACCCCCAGGTCCGTTCCCTTCCCTGCACCCCTGCTGCTTCCCACCTGCTTCTCTCCTGCTGCTTGTTGCAGCAGACCATATGAGTTGTCATGTGTTTACTCTGCTTACCAGCAGTCACGCCCCATCCTCATTGTGACCTCACGCTGTGTCTCCCCACGCCCCTTTCACTCTGCCCGCCTCCCTCCTCCCAGCCACTGCAGGCGGCCATGACCCCACACTCGGTGATCAGCACGGGGCGAGAGGAGGGACCGGAGGGCGAGGTGGGCGAGTCGGGGGTGAGCCGCGTGGTGTCGGTGCCGCACGGGCTGGACCGCGTGTGCAGCGGCCTGCTGCTCGAGGACGGGCACATTGACGGGCAGGTAGACGGGCAGGTGGAGGGGTATGTGGAGGGGCGGGAGGCGCGGGTGCTGCGGTACCGGGAGAAGCGGCGCAACCGGCTCTTCTCCAAGACCATCCGCTACCAAGTGCGCAAAGTCAACGCCGACCGCCGCCCGCGCGTCAAGGTGTGCTCTTGGGGGAGGGGATGGGGTTTGAAGGCTGTTGCGGTTGGCTTTCATGGCTTGTGTTAGATTTGGAAGGCCACTTTTGGCCAACTAATGTCCTTTCTCTCCCCTCCCCCCTTTCCATGCAGGGACGATTTGTGAAGCGAGACTTGTGAATGCACGTTGCGTTGTAGGGCCCTGTTATCCCACTGCCTATGGGTTCTCATTGCTACTTTGTGGTTGTGTCATACTTGGGTTTGTGTCTACTAGACTGGATTGAGCTCAATGCATTAGTTGAGTGTACATTCTAGGATCTAGGGAGGTGCCAGAGTATCTTGCTTTTGATGTGTTTGTTTGGATTTACATAACATTGTAAATTATGCTTGATTTACTAGGGAGTGCAGTACGGTAGCGCGAAAGAACCCGCCACATCTGCCGTGTCCACCAGCGGTCACGAATGAGTCACCAACTCTCCGCGTCGGTGGGGTGGGAGTGAGCGAGGAACGGGGGACAAAGTGCACGATGGAACACGGCACAGCGCCGTCCACCTCCTGCCACAACACAACACCGCATCGCGATTAATGACCTACTAGTTGAACCATCGCTCGTGACCTGTTGTTCGAGCTTTCAGCGCCACGCCGTGACTGCGTCTGTGAGCGCGTGAGCCTTCACCATGCCGCTGCGGGGAGGGCGTCAGGCCTTGTCGATTAGTTCTCAAGCCGGCCCTTCAAGCCAGCCCGCTGCGCATCACGACTGACCGTCGCTGCCCTCTGCACGACGTGCCTCGTCGCATTGGTCGCACTCTCGCCGTCGTCGCATAGTCTCCCTCGTTTCATCGCGTGCCTCGTCGTTTGTCGCGCGGCGACGGCACGGCGGCATGGCGGAGTTCAACATGAGCGCGTGCGTGGCGGCGTGCGCGTCGCTACAGCCGTGCCTCGATACCTGCTACGTCTACAACGGCTGGCTCGCACCGCCCTCGCTGTCGCAAACCATCGCGTTCTCCGTCGCAGGTGCGTCGCCAGCGTGCGTGGATCGCGAGCACGCGACGTCTGCCCGGCCGTCGGCCGTCCGCCAGTGTTGTCGCCTGCCTCTCGTGTCTCCAACTCCCCTCCGCCATTCCCCCCACACCCCCCTCTCCCTCCCCAACCCCCTGTTTCTCGGTGTGGCGGTACGGCAGGCGGGGCGGGCGTGGGGGTGGCGGCGCTGGTGGCGTGTGTCATGGCCAGCACGCTCGCGCTCGACCTGCCCTCGCTGCAGGTGAGACCTGCCCTCGCTGCAGGTGCGCCATTCCCACTCCATTTCTGCCGGCGCACCTCCGTGCCTCTTCCTGCCTGCTCCCTTTCCAACACATTCTCCTCTCTGCGCCTCTCTCTGCGCCCCTCTCTCCGCAACCCCCCACGTGCAGGCGCTGGCAGCGAGTGCGGACAAGGCGGAGCGCAGAAAGGTGCGCCCCCTCCGCCCTCGCTGCTCCATCCGCTTCCTTGTGCCGTCCATTACATCCCTCATCGCCCATCACATCCCTCATCGTCCCCCATTGGCTTCACTTGCTTGCTTTGCCGCTCGGCATGCATGTCCCCGTGTCCGACCCTTCCACTCCTCTCTCTCACGCCCTGTCTACTCCCCTCGCGCCTCTCATTCCTCGCCCCGCGGGGCCCATGGACGGGTGGATGGCAGGCGAGGGCGGTGCTGCGGGTGAGGCGCCATGGCAACCTGCTGCTGGCGGCTCTGCTGCTCGCCAGCTGCCTCGCCTCCACCCTGGCTGCCGCTGCCTTCACCGGTAAGCCTCCCCCCTTACCCCCCCCGCCACTGCTGTGAGCATCCCCCTCCTGCCAGAAGGTGCCGAGGCACTGCGAGGAGCGCGCCCCTCCCTGGAGCTGGTGGAAATGCTGCCCTGGGCTGCATGGATTCTCACACCCACCGTACTGCACATGGGCGCACCCCATCACAGCATGCCTCTCACTCCTTTGCTCCCTACCATTCTTCCCCACGGGCCTGTGTGGGCATGGCATGGCGGGGCGTGCAGAGGTGCTGGGCGTGTGGTGGGGGTGGCTGTGCGCATTCTCGCTGCTCTTCCTCGCCGTTGAGCTCCTGCCGCCCGCCCTCTGCACCAACCGGTATGCCCCTCCTCCTTGCACTCGTTCAACCTCACTTCTCTTCTCACACTCGCTACTCGCCACTCGCCCCTCCCATGCGCTCGCTCATACGAGCCACGTCAGCAGCTGAGAGTTACGCCTCCTCCCAACTCCCACACCCCTCTTCATCCCCTCCTTCCCCTTTATCCGTTGCTCCCACCTCCCCTTCCCCCTCCACCTCCTCCACCTCTCGCTCGCCCCCCGCCCCCCAGGAGTCTGCAGGTGGCGGGGGCGACGGCGTGGGTGGGGGGCGTGGCGGTGGTGGCGCTGTTCCCCCTGGCGTGGCCCGTGGGGCTGCTGCTCGACTGCCTCGTCTCGCGCTCCGCCCTCTCCCCCGCTGACGATGACGGCCCCGTGGTCAGTCGGGGGTGCAGGGGGGGTGATGGAGGGAGGACGGAGGTTAGGGGGAAGGATTGGGGAGGATGGGAGCCATGGGGTAGGGGGCATGGGTTGGGTTAGGGGGAGCGGGATGGGGGCATGGGATGGATACGGCCATGCACGCACAATGCTTGCTGCAACCACCACTCACCTCGTGTCTCCTCCCCTCTCCCCCCTTCCTCGCGCTGCTGCGTGACCGCCCCTCTTCCCCGCGGCTTGATCTCCCAGAAGTGCCGCTTGGCGCCCGACCCTCTGCAACAGGGGGAGCAGGAGCAGGAGCAGGAGCAGGAGCAGGAGAGTGAGGGCGAGGGTGATGCATGCAAGCCGTTCGCTGCACGTGCTGGCAAAGGGGATTGCGAGGAGGAGTGGAGTGGTGAGGAGGAGTGGGGCGGGGGGAAGGAATGGAAAACAAGAGAGGAGGAAGGGGAGGTAGGAGGGGGAGGGTGGGAGGAGGAAGAGAGGGATGGTGGCGGCGACAAGGAGGCGTGCAGGCGTGGGGCGCGGGGACCCGAGGGGGGTGGGCAGCAAGGGGAGGGCGGGGTAGCATTGTACGGTGGGAGCGTGATGGAGAGTGGGGGGGGCGAGGGGAGCAGCGAGGGTGCAGCGGTGCAGATGGCGGTGCTGCCCTCGTCCTCGCATGCTGCAATGCCGCCACCACCTCCCCTCTCTCACGCCCATGCCACCCAGCACGTTGCCTCCTCCCACCCCACCCTTGCCTCCAACCCCCTCCCCAACACATGCCACACGCCCCCTGCTGGCTCTCCCCATGCGGCGCAGTCGCCCCCAGCGCCTCCCCCGTGGTTCCTGCAATCGTGGGAGCATGCGGCCGTATGGGCACGCCTTGCCGCCGTGCCTCCCACGCCTGCCGCCCCCACCTCACACCCACACCCCGCTGATGCTGCCCGTGCGCTTGACCCACCTGACTCGAGCGTGCGGGCAGGGAGTGGGGGGGGGAGAGCGCACGTTGCAGCAGTCAGAGATTACCACGCCACCCCGTCTGCCGCCCCTTCCACCGCCCCCCCAGCTGCCACCCTGCCAGGTGGCGTGCCGCCTCTCCCCCTGTCCTCCTCCACTCCCCTGTGGCGCCACCGACCCCCCCTGCCTGCTGCTGCTGCCTCTTCTTCCGGGCAACCCATGCCCCCCACTGACTCTAGTGCATCGGCTGATGCCCTCCGCCCCCCTCACTGACATCTATCTATTGAGCCCTGCCCCGCTCACTGACATGGATGGAACTCTCCACCACCTCCACTAACCTGGCCACACCCTCAAGCAAGCACCTCTTGCAAGCAGCGGCAGTAATCTCAGGGGCCAAGTACCGTACCGTACCTGCTGGGAGCACCTGATGCAAGCAGCAAGCACGCAGCAAGCACCAAGCAAGCACATGAAGCTTTTAGTTGAAATAACACGCAGGCAGCAGTTTCTTTAGCATTGTGTTGTGAGTGCCCACTGGTACTCGCTGGTATTGCCATAGCACCATGCAATGCAACAGTCAAGCTGCCATGCATGTATAATAATCACCAATATTTTCTTTGCTGGCGTTTTTAATCAGGCCTACCGTATGATTCCTCAAGTTGGCAATGTGCACAAGATTGCTTCAACTCAATGCAAGATAAGATGTCGTATGAGATTGCCACATTGCAAGACATGAGTGGAGCATGCTGAAAGAACAATTCCATCTATGTGGTCCTGCTGTAGGCGCTGTCCAGGGTGCCAACCAAAACCCCCACGCTCCAGCAGCATGACCATGTGGCCTCAGCACCACCAAAAGCCATGCCAGGGGAGCAACAAAGCGTGTCAGAGATGGGGTTTGAACCCATGCCTCTTTCGAGACCGCAACTTGAGTGCGGCGCCTTAGACCACTCGGCCACTCTGACACGTCCTGTCATAAACAAAAATATATCAATATAATACTATTCTTAAATCACAACTAACGACGCGTGATCACGTCACTGGCGCAGCCATGGATAACCCCGAGCAGCGCGAGGCAAAGGCGGAGGATCAGGCAGCACAGCCACACGAGTCGTACTATCAGCAGCAACAGCATTATGGCCATGACGCTCACTCGTACGATCACCAACAGTACCACCAACACTACCAGCAGCAGCAGGCGCAAGCGGCGCAGGCGCACTACTACGGGTACGACCCGAGTCTCGCGCAGCATCACGCGCCCCCCCATTACCCGCACCACCAACCCCCTCACCACCCTTACGCTTATCCTCCCCAACCCTACCCTCCCTCCGTTTACAACCAACCAAATCCCTACCAGCCACCTCCCCAGCCCGCCTATCCACCGGCTCAGGACTCCGCCTTCCCCGCAAATTCCCCGCTTGCCGCCTTCTTCGATCCGCGCGAGCCTCCGCCAGCCGCGGTGGCGGCCCCGGCGAGCGAGGAGGTGCGCGGGCGCGTGGAAAAGGCCGTCGAGTACGCCGCGAAGAACGGGCCGCAGTTCGAGGCGCTCATGCGCGACAAGCAGCGCGGCCAACCCGCGTACGCCTTCCTCGAGGCGGGCGGGGAGGGCGCGGACTACTATCGCTTCCGCCTCTGGTGCGCGCTCTCTGGGTCGGGGGCCGCGGATGCGGTGGCTTGGACGGAGGGGAAGAGTGCAGCTGATGGGCAGGCGGAGCAAGCCGTGGGGAAGCAGGGGGAGGCGGACGGGGAGCACGGCAGCGCGGAAGTGAAGGTAGAGGGGGAGCAGGAGGGGGAGAAACAAGCAGTAGGGGGCGCGCCGGGCGCGCAGCAGGCGCAGACCGGCTCTGAGGCCCCTCCTGCGGTCCCTCTCCCCTCCGATTCCACCCCTCCCCTTCCCCCGGAGCCCCCGCTCCCCCCCATGCCCCCACCCCCCGCGGACCCTGCTGACGTGGCGCTGCAGGCGGCGGTGGCGGCGGCGGGGCTGCCGGCGGACGTGGGGGGCGAGGCGGTGGCGCTGCTAGCGGGGCTGAGCGGCACGAAGGAGGCCATCAAGGGCGGCAAGGCGTGGGTGGCGTGGCGCGCGGGCATGGGGTGGGCGCCGCACATCGCGTGGGTGCTGCGGGAGCGCATGGCGGCGCTGGCAGGGCAGCCGGAGCGGCAGCTGCATGTGATCTACCTCGTCAACGACGTGCTCTTCAACAGGTGTGTGGTCAACGACGTGCTCTTCAACAGGTGTGCCCCACCTCGTCTCCCCTCCCCTCGCTGTCCCGTCTCACCGCACTCTCCACCTCACTCTCTCCACCTCACTCTCTCCACCTCACTCTCTCCACCTCACTCTCTCCACCTCACTCTCTCCACCTCACTCTCTCCACCTCACTCTCCCCACCTCACCCTCCCCACCCCCCACCAACCCCCCCTCGGACCGGGCAGTCTACAGCAGAGGCCACAGCCGGGGGCGGTGGACGCGGTGGCGGCGGCGCTGCAGCCGTGTTTGGGCTTCATGCTGGCGGCACTGTTCCACGGGGGGGGTGACGCGCAGAGCAGCAACCAGGAGCGGCTGGGGAAGATCCTGGCGTTCTGGGCCAGCAAGGAGGTGTACCCGGGGGAGGCCATGGCGCACCTGGGCGCGCTCATGCGCCTGCCGCCCCACCAGCACCCTCCCATGCCGCCCCCGCCACCTGTGCCTGCTATGGACTACCACGCTGCAGGCGAGTGGAGAGCGTGTGCTGTAGGGAAGGGAAGTGGCTGGCATGTGTGCGTTCTGCAAGTGGGAGCGGGAGTGACTTGTTTGGCGTGTGTGATCCAAGCTCTTTCTGGCTCGCACCCACATATATCCCTGCTCTCTTTCGCTTTGCTGACATTGTGCCCCCTTTCCTCTGCTCCTCTTCCCCTCTCCCACCCCCCATGCACTGCCATACCCATCAGCCACACAGCCGTATGCCCATGGCATGCACCCCCACGCCCCTCCCCCGCCCGCATGGCCCCCTCTTCCACCGCACATGCCGCCCATGCCTCACGATGCAGCAGCCCCTGCCTCTGCACCCGTGCCCGCCACCCCCCCTTCCTTTCCCCCGCCCCCTGCCCCCGCCACTCAACCCCCACACCAACCCTCGCCCGCACCAGTCCCCAGCGCCCCCCCTGAGCCGCAGCCCCCCACCCCAGACGCGCCGCCTGCGGCCCCCGCGCCCACGCCTGCGGAGAAGGCGCCGTACCCGCTGTTCCCGCCGGGGCTGATCCCGGGCATGGTGCGCAAGAAGCAGGTGGGGTCGGGCGTGCCGTACGCGCCCATGGCGCCGCACGACATCCCCTCCACCATCCCCCCGCCCCACGAGTCCGAGGAGTACCTGCGGCGCCGCATCGCACGCTTCTTCAAGGCCATTGGGGAGACGGACCCCCTGGCGGAGGGGGATGAGGACGAGGAGGAGGATGCGGAGGAGGCGGATGGCGGCCGGGGGATTCTTGGGGCGGGCATTGGGAAGAGAGGGCACGGGCATGGAGGGCATGGGGTGGGTGGCGGGGGGAAAAGGGGCCCAGGGGCGAAGCCACGCGCCATGTCACCGCCACCAGCGATTGGCATGGAGGGGGGCGGGCTGGGACTGGGCATGGGCGGGGGAGGGCTGGGACTGGGCATGGGGGGAGCGGGGATTGGAGTGGGCATGGGGGGAGCGGGGATTGGAGTGGGCATGGGGGGAGCGGGGATTGGAGTGGGCATGGGGGGAGCGGGGATTGGAGTGGGCATGGGGGGAGCGGGGATTGGAGTGGGCATGGGGGGAGCGGGGATTGGAGTGGGCATGGAGGTGGATCCGGAGACTGGCATGTTGCCGGACGGCAGTGTGGTGCAGAAGCCTGGCATGGGCGGCGCGAGGCTGGGACTGGGTGCCGCCGTGGAGGCCGATGCTCCGTCGCAGTATGCCGACGTGTATTCGAGTTTCCGCCGCATGCTCAGCTCGTCCTACCACACCTCCATTAGTGAACGGGCTGCTAGGAAATACGAGAGGTAGCAGCACGTAGTGTATGTTGATGTGAGATTGATAGCAGGATGTAAGCGCTGGAAATACTCATATTGACAATCTATGTTACATGCGTGATTTTGAAGCGGCGATGATAGCCTCTCATCCACCTCGATACAGTAATTCCCACGGCCATCGGGGTTAGCCGAGCCGAGGTGCATGCATCCGCGCCAGTCCGCAGCACCGCAAAGCAAGTCTCCCCGCCACGAGAGACCCATGTGGCCTTGAAAGTGGTCCGGGCGAAGCGGTGCCACGTGGGAGAGCGCCAGCCAGAACTCATCTTATCCGCCACTCTCCGCTCGGCGCTTCCGCCACTCTTCCCCATGGCGCCCACACCCACTGTGCGCGCATCTCAGTCCTTGCAATTCGACCACACCACCCATTTCCAAGGCTCTTCCTGCAGCCCGCTCCAATCGAACCACTCGTGCTGTTGCTGCGAGCAGTCAATCCGCTGCCACTGTCCCAAACGACCTTGGCAACTCCTGCACCTCTCGCTCGGTCGCTTCGCTGCCGCGTCTGACGGGAATCGCTAAGGTTGCTTTCAGCTAAACTTCACTTGAGCGCTGCAGACCAGCTCGAAAGGAGAGGCAATGGCGGCGCCTGCCAGCAATCCGTCGAACACGGTGACGAACATCTCGGAGTTCCAGTGCCTGGCCAAGGAGAAGCTGCCCAAGCAGGCGTACGACTACTACGCGTCGGGCGCCGAGGACCAATGGACGCTCGCCGAGAACCGCAACGCCTTCGAGCGCATCAGGTGCCGCCCCTCAGCCTCACGTCGCGGCTCCCTGTTAGGCCTGGCTGTTTGTTCTGTCGAATTCCCCTTCCGTTAAAAGCATGCCGAAACGAGCAACTGATGAGCTGATTCCGACGGCTGGCAGTGTTGATGATGCTAACGTTCACACTCCGGCTGTGCCGCCGTGCATGCCTGAACATGTCCCGACTGCAGGTTCCGGCCGCGGATTCTGATCGACGTGTCGAGCGTGGACACGACGACGAGCGTGCTGGGCCACCGCATCTCCATGCCCATCATGCTCGCGCCCACCGCCTTCCAGCGCATGGCGCACCCCGAAGGTGCGCGCCGCCCGCCGCTCCTCTCTCGCAATGTGATGCGGAAATTTTGTTCGTTTTCTCGCGTAGTGTAACAACCACGAAACGAACGCCAAATCCGTCAGTGTGCAGCTATTCACCTGTCATATCCGCTGCCCTGTCCTCCGCCGCTCTCTTCCTGCAGGCGAGCTCGCCACGGCCCGCGCGGCAGCTAAATTCGACACGGCCATGGTAAGCCGGAGCCATAGTAAGCTGGAACAATGGTATCTTGGAGGTAGCGCCGGAAATAATGGAAGCGAGATAGGTGCTTCGAGCAGCAGTGACGTGTAAATCCGTTGGTCCGCTTTGAAGGTGGAATTCACGTGCCGTGCAGTGCGGTGATATGTAGAACGGGGCGCTGCCGGAAATGCGCAATTGCTAGTCTTCATTTTATCGCCACCAGTGTTCCCTGCCTCCTCTTCTCTATTTCACTCTTGCCTCTCTTCCCCCCCTCGTTTTCCTCTCCTGCGCCTGCTTCCCCTCCTCTCTCCCCCATTCCCCTCCCGTCGCCCATTTCACCGCGCTCCCTCCCCCTGGGGCGAGCAGGTGCTGTCGTCGTGGGCGACGAGCAGCGTGGAGGAGGTGGCGTCGGTGGGTCCGGGTCTGCGTTTCTTCCAGCTCTACGTGAGTGCCGCGCGCTCTACCTTCCGCCAGTAGCCGGCAGGCAGTATTGTTTTCCGCATTGCGTTGCGCTGCCGCCTGCTTCGTCTCCAGCTTGCTCCTGCTGCTATGTGCCCCGCCATGGCTATGTGCCCCGCAACCTCCCGCCCCTCACACTCCCCCACCCCCCTCACCCCCTCCCCCCATGCCCCCCCCCAGGTGTACAAGGACCGGCAGGTGGTGGAGCAGCTGGTGCGGCGCGCGGAGCGGGCGGGGTTCAAGGCCATCGCGCTCACCGTCGACACGCCGCGCCTCGGCCGTCGCGAGGCCGACATAAAAAACAGGTGCGCCGCCCGTCCGCGCGCGCCAGCCGTGGCGCAGGTTGCTGCTTCAGGCGGCGTGGGGGGTTGGGTTGGCGACGAGGGGGTGGGGTGGGGGAATGTGATGGCTGGGGGACCGTGGGTGGAGGGATTCAAAAGCGCACCTAGAGAAGGGCTGTAGTGTTCACGCTGAAGTAACGAATTACTGTGAGGCACTTTGAAAAGTCAACGATGCAAAGAGGAACTTGAAGCGGAAAAAGCAGCAAGGGCGAGGGCGTATTGTAGGGATTGTGGCTGCTGTTGGTCACTGTTTTCATGGCATGGATTGGGGCCATCGTGACTGACTCATGGCTTGGCATGGCATGGTGGTGCGCGTGGCAGGTTCGTGCTGCCACCTCACCTCACTCTGAAGAACTTCGAAGGACTGAACCTCGGCAGTATGGACAAGGTATGGCGGCATGGGAAGGCAGCATACAATTAGTTGCGTTGTGATAAAATGAGCGTCGTTGCACCGTTGACCAGCACAGCAATGCTCGTTGCCCTTCACTCACTCCACGTTCTCTCCTCTACCCTCTCCGTCACTGCCTACCACCACGTGTCACGGCGGGCGCGCATCAGTCACAGGAGTCAGGGCTGTCGTCGTACGTGGCGGGTCAGATCGACCGCTCGCTCAGCTGGAAGGTGAGCTCTCCTGCTCTCAGCATGCCGTGTGCGTGCTGTGTGTGGGGTGCGTGGTGCGTGTGGTGTGTGCTGCTTGAATATGGGTGTATGAGTGCCTGCTGTACGACCTTCTGTCAGTTGCCGCTGCGTGCTCCATTCTCCTCTTCTCTGCCAGACTCCAACCTCAACGATCCTTCATTTCTTCCCTCCGACTCCCCATTCCCCCCCTCTTTCACCCCTTCTTTCCGCCACTTGTCTCCAATGATTGTGTGGTGCATGTGTGTGCCCGTGCACATTGTTTGCGTGTGTGTGAATGTGCATGTGTGCATGCGCATGTCTGTACGTACATGTGTGTGCGTTTGTGTGTGCATGCATGTGCGGCCACAGGACATCGCATGGCTCAAGTCCATCACATCGCTGCCCATTCTCGTCAAGGGCGTCATCACAGCAGAGGATGGTGAGTCAAGTCAAGGCCGTGATTACAGCGGAGGGGAGGGTACCTCATACTGCTCACAGCAAGTCACATCTGCTATCCCCATGTTGCTCCCTGCTGCACCTGCTCATCCTAACCCTTCTTCCACCTGCCCTTGTTCATCCCTCCTCCGCCCGGTGGCGAGCAGCGGAGATATCGATAGAGTACGGGGCGGCGGGCATCATAGTGTCCAACCACGGCGCCCGCCAGCTGGACTACGTCTCCGCCACCATCTGCGCCCTCGAGGAGGTGCGCGGCGCCCCCCTGCCCTGCCACACACTCTCGCTCTGACTCCCGCACCCATGCTCGCCCCCACACCACACCCATTGCATCTATCCAGTACCCCACCCGTCTGCACTGCGTGTGGCAACATCTATGCCGTTCTGCCTGCATTGATTTCGTTCCCCTCGTGTTCGCCCCATCGCCTGTCAAGTTCATGCTTGATGCTCCACACACTGCAAACACCCTCCCCACCATATCCCCTTCCCCACCATATCCCCTTCCCCACCATATCCCCTTCCCCACCATATCCCCTTCCCCACCAAATCCCCATCAGCACCACCTTCTCACCACCACCTCCCCTCCCCGTCCCTTCCCCCACCCCCCCCCTTCTTTCCCCCACCGAGTGGTGTGGCAGGTGGTGAAGGCAGCGCGAGGGCGGGTGCCGGTGTTTCTGGACGGTGGGGTGCGGCGCGGCACCGATGTGCTCAAGGCGCTTGCCCTTGGTGCCGCGGGTGTCTTCGTACGTTGCCCTCCCCTACCCCACATCACATGCCACTGCCTCCTCAATGCCTTGCCCTTCAGTCGCTCGCAGCTGCGTCCACATGTTGCCCATACCTTGGTCCGTTCAGTGTTTGAGGGGCTGTTCTAGTCTCGTGCCATTCTCACTGTCTGGTACATGCCTGCCCTCCCATACCGTTCCTCTCCTGCCTCGCCTCTCATGCCTGCCTCCCATCCGCCCATGCCCATCCCCCCCCCCATGGCTCATGCCCACCAGGTGGGGCGGCCGGTGCCATTCGCGTTGGCGGTGGACGGGCAGGCGGGGGTGGAGAAGCTGCTGGGCATCCTCAAGGACGAGTTTGAGCTCGCCCTCGCCCTCGCCGGCTGCACGCGCGTGGCGGACATCAAGCGCTGCCACGTGGAGACGGAGGAGGACCGCCTGCGCAAGGCCATCACCTCGCGCCTCTGATCCCATCCCAACGCTCCCTCTTGGCCAACCCACTTGTCCCTTGCCATTTTTTGGTGTGCCTTATTGTTGCTCGTGAAGAGCATAGCTTATTGAATGTATAATTGCATATCATTTGTAATGGTTGCCCACTGGGTTCAGTAAATGTCCTGCAAAGCTACCCGAAAGAACATGCTGCTCTTCACTTTGTCACACAGAACGCTAGTTTTGCCAAGTATGCAGTTTTAAGCTCCTCCCACTCCGAAGCACCACATTACACCGCTTCTCCAGCACGACCTGTGCCATTGCCGTTCCTTACGCCCCAATTTCTTCGCTCTGACACTCACTCCGAGCGCCTCGGTGGCGCATTCACCGACGCTGCTGAGAATACAGCGCGCGCAGATTGCTCGTCACGCGCGCATTGTTCAGCGCAGCGCACGGAGGTCGCTAGGAGCGCTAATCTTCGAAGATGGTCGTCCCACCGGCGCCTTGACCCTCCGCGCCTTGACCCTCCGCGCCTTGACCCTCCGCGCCTTGACCCTCCGCGCCTTGACCCTCCGCGCCTTGACCCTCCGCGCCTTGACCCTCCGCACACCTTCCACTCCCTCGCGCACACCGCCAAAACATTTTACCCCTCACGCTGTCACCGGTTTCCCTCGCGGCGATGGCGGCGGAGTGGCCGCTACTGGCGGAGGAGGAGGAGGACGAGGCGGAGGTGGCGCGGGCGTGGCGCGCCGTGGAGGCGGTGCGCGTGACGGCGGACGTGGCGGCGGCGGCGCGGCACCTGATGGCGCTGCTGCGGCGAGTGCAGGCGCACGGCGGGCTGTGCGACGAGGGGCCGGCCCTCGATACCGCCATCCGCAGGCGCGCCATGCCCGCCCCTCATACTGCGCGCCCCTCATACTGCGCGCCCCTCATACTGCCCGCCCCTCATACTGCCCGCCCCTCATCCCCTTTCAGCAAAGTGTGCCCTCCGCTGAATGTGCGTTGCCGTGCCCCTCTGCGTCGCATCGCCTTGCCCCGCTGCGTCGCTCCCTGCTCTCATCCTCTGCGTGCCACGTCCCCCCCACGTGCGCCCCTCCCCCCACGGGAGCAGGTACGAGCGGTGCTGGCTGCAGCTGGCTGGGCGGCTGAGTGACGACGAAATGTGCCGCCTGCTACCGCCCATTGACGTGGAATGGGTTTGGCTCTGCCACCGCCTCAATCCCGTATGTTCTTGAGTTGCTTGGCTGCCCATGCTGCCCGTTCCGCCTGTGCTGCCCGTGCTGCCCGTGCTGCCATGCAGCCGCGCTACTCCTGGACTGACTGAATGCTGCTGCAGGTGATGCGAAGTTCCTGATCGGCCTGATGTGTTGCCATGTGCTCTCTATCATCCCCCCCTTTACTCCCACCCTTCACTGCATCGCATGAATCTGCTTGCCGCTGCCTTCCCATCCCACTGCCAAACATGTGCAGTACCTTGCCTGTGTTTCTCGCCCTGCCTCCCTCAACACCTCACTACACGCTCTTCTTCGCATGTGTGTGTTTGTGTGTGTGTGTGTGTGCGTGTGTGTGTGTGTGTGTGTGTGTGTGTGTGTATGTGTGTGCGTGTGCGTGCACGTGCACACGTGTGTGTGTGTGTGTGCATTGAAAACGCATGAATGGGCGATGGGAGCAGGAGGCGTACAGCAGGGAGTGCGGGGCCAGGGTGGGGCGAGTGGTGGAGCAAGCAGTCTTTGACACAAGTGACTGTCACCCCTCTCACCACCCTGCTACCAATCATGCTGCCTGCAGCAGCAGCAGCGGGGGCGGGAGGGAGGCAGCAGAGGCAGCGGCGCGGCGGGTGTGGGACAGGCTGTTCCCTCACGAGCCCTACGACCTGTGCGAGCCTCGCAGAGCCGGCAGGTCACAGCACGGCGGGGGGGTTGGCGATGCTGATGATGACGGTGCGAGGGAGAGCACGCAGTGCGGGCGGGGGAATGAAGGCAGAGGGGAGGCGCAAGGGGGGCCGGCGGGGGAAGAGAGGGGGAGCCTCGGGGAGGGCCCTCGGTGTTGCAATGAAGGCGCAGGAGCAAGGTGTTGCAATGAAGGCGCAGGAGCAAGGCGCAGCCTGGCATGCGTGGACGGGCGGAGAGGCGAGGGGAGGGGCGCGGAGTCTGGTGGTGAGCCTGCAGGCGCGTCAGAGGGCTCTCTGAGAGGCAGCAGGACGGCAGAGGCCTCCAGAGAACCGGGCGCGGTGGATTTGCTGGCAAGCGCAGGGGTGGAAAGCAGAGAGGCGGCAGAGGGTGCAGGAGAGGGGCAGCACGTGCAGTACGACCTGAGGGCTGCTGTGCTGCGACACAGAGGGCTCTTACTCGAGGTGAGGGGCGCTCACTCGTGATACGAGACAAGGGTGGTGCCGTGTGCTGTGAGAGGTGGTGCTGCGGTGAACGAGAACTCATGCTGCCTCACCTGACAGTTGCCCTCCTCTCACTTGTCTCCATCCCAACCCATTTCCGCATGTTGCATGATTAATGGTGCATCGTGCGTGGTGCATGGGGCATGGGTCATGTGTGGTGGTGGCAGGTGGACCGGCCGTGGATGGTGCAAACGGCATACCTGAGGGGGTCAGTGCAGCGCTACCGCATGTTCCTCTGCCTCTTCAAGACCAACCCAGCGACGCCCCTCACACCCACCTGTGACATCGACCTGATCTGGCATGCCCACATGGTAACAAACGCACATGATAGCACGCTGACATGGTAGCATACTAGCATGCGCACATGGTAGCATGTGCACATGGTAACAAACGCACATGATAGCACGCTGACATGGTAGCATACTAGCATGCGCACATGGTAGCATGCGCACATGGTAACAAACGCACATGATAGCACGCTGACATGGTAGCATACTAGCATGCGCACATGGTAGCATGCGCACATGGTAACAAACGCACATGATAGCACGCTGACATGGTAGCATACTAGCATGCGCACATGGTAGCATGTGCACATGGTAACAAACGCACATGATAGCACGCTGACATGGTAGCATACTAGCATGCGCACATGGTAGCATGTGCACATGGTAACAAACGCACATGATAGCACGCTGACATGGTAGCATACTAGCATGCGCACATGGTAGCATGTGCACATGGTAACAAACGCACATGATAGCACGCTGACATGGTAGCATACTAGCATGCGCACATGGTAGCATGTGCACATGGTAACAAACGCACATGATAGCACGCTGACATGGTAGCATACTAGCATGCGCACATGGTAGCATGTGCACATGGTAACAAACGCACATGATAGCACGCTGACATGGTAGCATACTAGCATGCGCACATGGTAGCATGTGCACATGGTAACAAACGCACATGATAGCACGCTGACATGGTAGCATACTAGCATGTGCACATGGTAGCATGTGCACATGGTAACAAACGCTCATGATAGCACGCTGACATGGTAGCATACTAGCATGCGCACATGGTAGCATGTGCACATGGTAACAAACGCACATGATAGCACGCTGACATGGTAGCATACTAGCATGCGCACATGGTAGCATGCCCACATGGTAACAAACGCACATGATAGCACGCTGACATGGTAGCATACTAGCATGCGCACATGGTAGCATGTGCACATGGTAACAAACGCACATGATAGCACGCTGACATGGTAGCATACTAGCATGCGCACATGGTAGCATGCGCACATGGTAACAAACGCACATGATAGCACGCTGACATGGTAGCATACTAGCATGCGCACATGGTAGCATGCGCACATGGTAACAAACGCACATGTTAGCACGCTGACATGGTAGCATACTAGCATGCGCACATGGTAGCATGTGCACATGGTAACAAACGCACATGATAGCACGCTGACATGGTAGCATACTAGCATGCGCACATGGTAGCATGTGCACATGGTAACAAACGCACATGATAGCACGCTGACATGGTAGCATACTAGCATGCGCACATGGTAGCATGTGCACATGGTAACAAACGCACATGATAGCACGCTGACATGGTAGCATACTAGCATGCGCACATGGTAGCATGTGCACATGGTAACAAACGCACATGATAGCACGCTGACATGGTAGCATACTAGCATGCGCACATGGTAGCATGTGCACATGGTAACAAACGCACATGATAGCACGCTGACATGGTAGCATACTAGCATGCGCACATGGTAGCATGTGCACATGGTAACAAACGCACATGATAGCACGCTGACATGGTAGCATACTAGCATGCGCACATGGTAGCATGTGCACATGGTAACAAACGCACATGATAGCACGCTGACATGGTAGCATACTAGCATGCGCACATGGTAGCATGTGCACATGGTAACAAACGCACATGATAGCACGCTGACATGGTAGCATACTAGCATGCGCACATGGTAGCATGTGCACATGGTAACAAACGCACATGATAGCACGCTGACATGGTAGCATACTAGCATGCGCACATGGTAGCATGTGCACATGGTAACAAACGCACATGATAGCACGCTGACATGGTAGCATACTAGCATGCGCACATGGTAGCATGTGCACATGGTAACAAACGCACATGATAGCACGCTGACATGGTAGCATACTAGCATGCGCACATGGTAGCATGTGCACATGGTAACAAACGCACATGATAGCACGCTGACATGGTAGCATACTAGCATGCGCACATGGTAGCATGTGCACATGGTAACAAACGCACATGATAGCACGCTGACATGGTAGCATACTAGCATGCGCACATGGTAGCATGTGCACATGGTAACAAACGCACATGATAGCACACTGACATGGTAGCAGACTAGCATGCGCACATGGTAGCATGTGCACATGGTAGCAAACGCACATGATAGCACGCTGACATGGTAGCATACTAGCATGCGCACATGGTAGCATGTGCACATGGTAACAAACGCACATGATAGCACGCTGACATGGTAGCATACTAGCATGCGCACATGGTAGCATGCGCACATGGTAACAAACGCACATGTTAGCACGCTGACATGGTAGCATACTAGCATGTGCACATGGTAGCATGTGCACATGGTAACAAACGCACATGATAGCACGCTGACATGGTAGCATACTAGCATGCGCACATGGTAGCATGCGCACATGGTAACAAACGCACATGTTAGCACGCTGACATGGTAGCATACTAGCATGCGCACATGGTAGCATGTGCACATGGTAACAAACGCACATGTTAGCACGCTGACATGGTAGCATACTAGCATGCGCACATGTTAGCATGTGCACATGGTAACAAACGCACATGATAGCACGCTGACATGGTAGCAGACTAGCATGCGCACATGGTAGCATGTGCACATGGTAGCAAACGCACATGATAGCACGCTGACATGGTAGCATACTAGCATGCGCACATGGTAGCATGTGCACATGGTAACAAACGCACATGATAGCACGCTGACATGGTAGCATACTAGCATGCGCACATGGTAGCATGTGCACATGGTAGCAAACGCACATGATAGCACGCTGACATGGTAGCATACTAGCATGCGCACATGGTAGCATGTGCACATGGTAACAAACGCACATGTTAGTACACTGACATGGTAGCATACTAGCATGCGCACATGGTAGCATGCGCACATGGTAACAAACGCACATGTTAGTACACTGACATGGTAGCATACTAGCATGCGCACATGGTAGCATGTGCACATGGTAACAAACGCACATGTTAGCACGCTGACATGGTAGCATACTAGCATGTGCACATGGTAGCATGCGCACATGGTAGCATGCGCACATGGAACATATCCTGGTAGCTTGCATTGCATGGAGTCATGACATGCACACATGCTCATGACCCCTGCTCTGGCCTCACCACCTCTCCTCTCACCTCATCCTCGCTGCTGCGCTGCCCACTCCCTTCCCCCTCCCCTGCCCCCCTCCTTCCCCCCCCATCGGCACAGATGTGTGCACGTGCCTACGCCACGGACTGCCACCACCTGGTGGGTCGCCTCATCGCGCACCACGACTCCCTCTCGCCCGCACCCGCCCTCGCGCCCTCCGCCCTCGCCTGCTCGCCCTGCGACCTGGCGGGCCCGCGCTCACCGGGGCCACGGCATGTGGAGGCGGCGCACAGGGCCACGGCGCTGCTGTGGGAGCGCACCTTCGCCGTGCCCTTTGCGCGCGCAGGGGCCATGCACCGCCAGGGCGTGCCCCCTGCTCACGCAAGCTCCCTGCCACCGGCTATGCGCATGGGCGGGGCAGCTGTGGGCCACGAGCAGCAGGCAACGGCAGAGGGGGCAGGCGAGCAGGAGGGCTCATGGGCATGCAACCAGTGCCGTTCAGACACTGCCGCAGGGGCAGACGTGGAGAGGCAGCAGCAGCGCCAGCACACGGAGCAGCAGTTGAGGAGTAGCAAGAAAGCAGATGCGGACAAGGAGAGTGTGGGAAGCGGGGGCACAGGCGAGCAGGGGGAAAAGGTGCGGCGCATGGCAGTGGCGGGGTGTGTGAGTGCGGGTGAGGCGAATGCAGGGCTGGGGCTGTGGCAGCGCAGCACAGTGGACGTGGAGGTGACCGTGTGGACCGTGAGAGGGCTGCTGCTGCCCGCCCCTGACTGCCTCTCCGTCTCCCTCTCCGCCCTCCATGCCGCCCCTGCCTTCTCCGCCCGCACGCCCGCGCTGCCCTTCCATCCGGCAGCCCCCCCACCGCGCTGGCGCCACCGCTTCTCACTGCAGGCGGAGGTGGCCTCAGAGGGGCTGCGGCTGAGCCTGCACGCCCACTCGCGGTCGCTGCTCTCCTCGCTGCTGCCCTGGCTGCTGCCCCCCGCACCCCGCGAGCTGGGGTCAGCGGTGCTCACGTGGCACCGCCTGCTGCAGCACCCCTCGCTGCTGCTCCACTGCCTGCTGCCCCTCGCCCCCCCAGGCTGCACCCCCGCTGCCTATGCCGCTGCCACAGCCCCTCTCACTGCAGCCAGCACAGCCGCCACAGGGAGCAGTGGCTTGGTGGCGAGGGCAGCAGAAGAGGGGGGCGTGGAGAGGGTGGGTGGGGCCGGAGGCAGGGCAGAGGGCAGTGTGGGATGTCCGGCGGGGCAGGCAGGGCTGCAGGTGGGCGTGTCGCTGACCCCTGCCACGGCAGCGCCCTTCCTGCTGCGCGCCGTGCCTGTGTGCACCTCTGATGACCGCGGGGCCATGCTCTGTGCCTCCCTGGCTCAGCACCGCCCTCAGGTGAAAACAACAGAGGGGCTAGCGGGCCGGGAGGGCGAAGGGAGACGACCATGAGACTGTCCTGATGCCTTCGCTGTGGTTGTAAGAGTTCTTATGTGCATGAATCCTGTGCGTATGCATGTGTGTGGCATGCATGTGTGTGGTTTTGCTTGCAATTGTGCATGTGTGCGCATGGCTTGCATGAGTGTGGAGAGCAGGCGGGGCGGTGGGTGTCGCGCACGGTGCTGGACCACAGGGGCGTGGAGGCGTTTGTCATGCGCACCAGGTGGGAGGCGTTTGTCATGCGCACCAGGTGGGAGGCGTTTGTCATGCGCACCAGGTGGGAGGCGTTTGTCATGCGCACCAGGTGGGGGGCGTTTGTCATGCGCACCAGGTGGGGGGCGTTTGTCATGCGCACCAGGTGGGAGGCGTTTGTGATGTGCACCAGGTGGGGGGCGTTTGTCATGCGCACCAGGTGGGGGGCGTTTGTCATGCGCACCAGTGGGAGGCGTTTGTCATGCGCACCAGGTGGGAGGCGTTTGTGATGCGCACCAGGTGGGGAGCGTTTGTCATGCGCACCAGGTGGGGGGCGTTTGTCATGCGCACCAGGTGGGGGGCGTTTGTGATGCGCACCAGGTGGGGGGCGTTTGTGATGCGCACCAGGTGGGAGGCGTTTGTGATGCGCACCAGGTGGGGGGCGTTTGTGATGCGCACCAGGTGGGGGGCGTTTGTGATGCGCACCAGGTGGGAGGCGTTTGTGATGCGCACCAGGTGGGAGGCGTTTGTGATGCGCACCAGGTGGGAGGCGTTTGTCATGCGCACCAGGTGGGGGCAAAGCAGATGAAGGCAAGTGCGTGCATGTCACTCGCGCTGCACGTTGATGTCTGCCTTTTTCCATGCTCGCCCCACACCACTCCTTTCCCTTGGTCTCCTACTCCGTGCCTCCTCTGTTACACCACACTAGTCCATCCCCACTCATCCATTTCTCTTTGTCTTCCCCTGCCCCCCACCCCCCACCTCTTTCTGACTTTGTCTGTTGCCCGGCACCACTTCTTCCCCACTCCCTGGAGCCGTGGAGCAGAGTGGCAGAGGGAGTGTGGGAGGACCACAAGCGCCCAAAGCCAGTTCAGCCAACGGAACGGACAATTGTGCTGCATCAGGTGATTGCATCGGGTGATTGAAACAGGTGATTGCATCAGGTGATTGCGTCAGGTGATTGCTTCAGGTGATTTGATGAGCTGATGACATCAGGTGGTTGCATCAGGTGGTGGTATCAATCGATGGCATCTGATAGCAGCACCAGGTGGCTGCTGCATCAGCACCTTGTGCCAATCACTCTGCTTGTGCCACACCATTCTTTCAGCCTGTGCCATCTCCGCCCTTACCTTGCTTCGTTCCACTTCCCTTCCCCTCCCACCTTTCCCACCCTACTACTTTCTTGTCATGGCGTCTCCCCTCATTCCCCCACCCCTCCAACGGAGCGGTGGAGCAGGGGGGTTGGAGCTATGTGCCCACGGACGCCACGCCCTTGCCCCTCACCGCCCCCCTGCATGAGCGCGTGGGGGTGTGCCGCGGTCCAGTGCTGGCGCAGGCTGTGCCTCGAGGCGGGGGAGGGGTGCGGTCGGGACATGGAAACGGGGAGAAGGAGGGGGGAGGGGTGGGTGCAGGGGGGGAGCTGGTGGTGCGCTATGCGCTCATGGGATGCTTGCCTGGTGCAGCAATGGCGGAGCTGGGAGTGCGGTGCAGAGTGGTGGATGGGGCGCTGGTGCAGGGCTCACTGCAGCTGGAGCTGCAGGAGGAGGGCGACCATCAGGTGCGTTGCCTCCGCCTCTGCATCTTCCTAATCCCTGCCTCCGCTCCTGCTTTCATCCCTGTCTCTCCACCTCTGCCCCGTATCGTGATGCATTCCTGACACACCCATCACTCGCCTTAACTCTTCCCGTACCTCTCCACCCCATCCGCCCCCTCTCCCTGCCCCCCTCCATCTACCCTCAGGTGGCGCTACTGCCGGGCCGGCACCTGTCTTACACTGTGTGCGGGGCGGCAGCAGCAGAGGAGCAAGGCTTTGCCACGCTTGTGCGATACACTGGGGGGCCCGGGCTGGCGCGCGCCACAGCGCTGCTCAACTGGAGGGGGTGCGTAGTGGAGGTGGCACGCGAGGAGTCGGTGGCGCTGGCGCTGCTGCTGTGTGTCGCCATCGCTGAGGCGCTGCACGACATGCTCGCTGCACCGCGCTGCATGTGCTTCAGGCCCATGCTCCTGCCCAACCCCGATCCCGACACGCACTGGCAGGCCCTGTGCCTCAACCACGGCTCTCATGCCCCCTCCTCCGATGCGGCTAGGCCCAGCCGCGGTGGCAGAAGCGAGGAGCGAGGGGAAGAGTCAGGGTGGGCAATGGGGGAGCAGGCAGAGAGGAGGTGGTGGGAGCAGCGACCCCTGGCATGGATGCCTGGTGCTGCCAGCTGTGATTTCGGGGCTTGTGGGCCCAGCTTCACTCATGGATAGTGGGCAACGCTTTCCATGTATGAAATGCTTGTAAAATAGTGAAGCATTAACAGTATGACATGGCACTGGAGTAGACTATCCCTTGTAGGCAGCATGCCCTGCAACTCATGTGCAACTAAAGCAGGCAGAGGAGGGAGGGCGTGCAGGTGGTCACAGCCTGAGCAGGGCTGCCCCTGCTGCAGGGTGGGAAGCAAAAACACAGTTGGGCAGGTCGGCTGCAGTGATGGTGCCGGCAGCAATCTTGGGTGCGTAATAGTCTTCCTGCAGTGCGCACAGGGGAAGAAGCACAAGAGTGTGGTGAGTAGCAGAGGATAATTGTTTTTTCCGTGCAATGGCACTTGTCACTCTCAAGCAGCAGCAACCATCAGGAGTGCAAGTGGCAGTGCAAGGTGCCCTGCGCCACGATACCTTGAGGTGCGCGAGGAAGGAGTCTGTCTCATGAGCGTGCACCAGCGCCACCACACAGCCGCCCCAGCCAGCGCCTGTGAGGCGGGCTCCCAGGGCGCCGTGCGCCTTGCAGCACGCCACCAGCTGCTCGAGCTCGGGGGAACTGTGACACTCCCAAGGCAGGGCGTGGGAGGGACAGAGAGTGTGAAGGTTGACGGTGGAGGAAGCCAGCACGAGGGCATGAAGAGAGAACGAGTGGATACAGTCGCTGAGAGGGATGATGATGCAGTGGAAGGGAGATGAATGAAGAGGCACAGAACAAGACAGCAGCAGCCTCCTCCATGTGCCTTGCACCTTCCCATGGCCAGCGCTAGGCTGTCAATTTAGCCGTCTGTCCATCCCTTGTGCCTACCTCACTCACTCCTGCTCCCAGAGACACTAGTGCCTGCCATGCTTCACCTGCCATAACTTATGCTTCACCTGCATTCATAGAGGTCGCGACAGCTGGCGTGGCTGTCGTCCATAAGGCGGCCAAGAGAAAGCAGCACAGAGGGGCCTGCTGAAATGCCAGGTGCAGTGCTGCAGCAGGGAGCATGAATGGAGGCAAAGAGAGAGGGGGGGAAGAGGAGAGGTGGGGAGGCGGGGGGACGAGAGGGCAGCAAGGCATGAAGCGAAGGCCACTGTAGTGGCAGTGAAAGAACAAGAAGGGTGCGAGGGACAGAGATGGTTCCTCAATGAACCAATAAGCAACAATGCAGACTTCGAGCAAGAAAGTCAATAATAGGAAAAGGACGAGGCAGGTGCTGAGATGACCCTGAATAGAGCGTGCATTGGCTCCCAATCTAGTTGGTACTTATGTGCCCTGATTTCACATGCACTCGTTTCATGGACATCCAAACTGGAATAACGAGGGGTTGTGTGAACAGTGCACATGACACACTAAGAAAAGACCCAACGAGGTGGAGAGAGATACACACGAAGTAAGCTTACGAGTCAGAAGGTGCAGAGAGAGCAGCATCCCTGAATGCAAAGACGCGATGAGCTTCTGCATACACATGAAGAGCCCTCTGACGTCATGCGGTGGATGCCAGGTGGGTGCATGCATGGACAAGCACACACAATCGCACCCATGCAAGCGGGTGCAGGGGGTGCATGGTGCGTGTGACAAGGGAATGAGACAAGGATGCACATGTCGGTGGACCCACTCAATGCTCCAGAAAACGGTGTCGACATGCAAGACTGAGCCAGCGTGCATGCATCCACATCTGGAGAAAAGCAAGAGATGATGATCACGTTAAGGCACCCTTGCTGGCTGCCGACCTCGACCGCCACAGTTCAATAATTGAGCAGCTACGGGGTGGCAAGACAATGAGCATAGCTGTTGGGGCATGACTTCAGAGTGAACACGAGCATGCGTTGCCACAAGAGCAAGCATACCTGCTGTAACTTGAATTCGGTGGCGGCAGCGATGACAGCGAGGGAGGTTGGTGAGTCGGCAAAGACAGAGGCAAGTGACGCTTGAAGAAGAGCCTCGATCTCGCACGCGCTGTACGGGTCAGCATGCAGGCAGCGCTGCAGGGAAGTTTAGAAGCACAAGACACAGGCAGACCAAGGCAGCTTAGAATCACAGGTGTGCAGATTGACACTGACAGTGTGGGCCTTGTAGCCCACTGTTTGGGAATTGGCTGTCCTGCTGAAAATGGAGGACGCGGCATGGCATGCGGTGTGCAGGCAGGACTCACCCGCACAGCATCCAGCGCAGCGTGCTCGTCTGGTGGCTGTGGTGACGCGCTGCTGGCAGCACAGAGGGCGTCCACGTCTGCCAGTGTGCTGATGGAGGCGCGTGCTGTGGCAGGCTCCATGCCCAGCCGCACTGCCAGTACCATCTGGTGCCATGGGGAACACATGGAGGAGTGGGAAACGGATGGACCAATAGAATCGGGCGCAAGAGCAGAAACGCGCACCATCACCAATATTCCGAACCTGCAGCATGACACAGCTGCCCCCCGTTTGCTCATCCCCCAACTCACGGCGGCGAGGCGGCACTCCACAACCCGGCGATTGTAGTTGGTGGCGGCAGTCTCGGCCTTCTTGGAGACTGCCAGGGAGTTGGCGATCACGAAGACGGCGGTGGACGGCAGAGGCACCGCGTGCGCCCTCACGGGGTTGAACTCTATCAGCTGTGCCACGCCGCGCTCTCCAAAGATGGAAATGGCCTGGGAGAAACCGGGCACGCATGGACGCAGTGAAGGGAGATGTGCAACACAGGTCATGCTTCTTGCTCCGAGGAAGAAAAAAAAACACTGGCAGTGGGGGTGGATGGGGGCAGGATGGGCTCTCTGCAGATCTGAGACCTAAGGGCTGACTAACTCAAAACGGCATTGCTGACGCATCGCATGCACGTATTCACAGAAGTGCATGACCACAGCACACCTCGCTGGGAGCCATGCTTCCCCAAGAAGCTGCTTGAGCTGCTCACCACCTGACACTGCCCGTCGTGCCGCACACCCCTCACCATTGCCGGCCGTGCTGCACACCCCTCACCACTGCCGGTCGTGCTGCACACCCCTCACCACTGCCCGTCGTGCTGCACACCCCTCACCACTGCCCGTCGTGCTGCACACCCCTCACCACTGCCGGTCGTGCTGCACACCCCTCACCACTGCCGGTCGTGCTGCCCACCCCTCACCACTGCCCGTCGTGCTGCACACCCCTCACCACTGCCGGTCGTGCTGCACACCCCTCACCACTGCCCGTCGTGCTGCACACCCCTCACCACTGCCCGTCGTGCTGCACACCCCTCACCACTGCCGGTCGTGCTGCACACCCCTCACCACTGCCGGTCGTGCTGCACACCCCTCACCACTGCCGGTCGTGCTGCACACCCCTCACCACTGCCACTTCAAAGCCAGGGTGCCATGCCCGGTGCAGCTGCTCTTTAACAATCCACCTCTTTCTCATGCCCACTTCCCCCTCCCCTTCGCTTCAGTTATCCTTACCCCATCGGCTGCGACTCACTCTGTTGCACATGCTGCACTCACCCTTGGCCTTCTTACTAAGTCGCCCTCGCACTTGACCTCCCCGTGCTCGCTATCTGTGCTCTGCCCCTTCTCTTTCAAGATCAAGCACCGCTTGGGGGGGGACAGTTAGAGCATGGAACGAACGTTACCTGGTCCATGCCGCCAGACTGAGTGCCGATGTATCGCTCGCAGCGGCATGCCAGGTCAGCTATCTCCGCCTGAGAGGGAGGCAGTAAGAAGAGCATACTTAGGGAGAGACAGAGCCACAAGACTTTCAGAGAAGAATAATAATAAACAAGAAACGGACGAGGAGACACAGTTGAGGAGCCACAACACAGAATGAGGGCGGCAGCAGCACCTTGGGGAACGAAAATCCAAGGGCGGCCATGACAGCGATGGCAGAGGAGCACACGAGGGCAGCTGAGCTGGACAGGCCAGACCCTGGACACAGTGGCGCATGAGAAGAGAAAGCCGGGCAGCATGGTAGGTAAGCACCAGAGCTCTAAGACGTAGAAGCGAGCAGAGGTCCAAATGAGGTGGCTGAGGTGGGAGGACACGGACTTGTACGGGCATGGAGAACGGCAAGCGCGCACGGGGAACCAGTGGGCAATGTTCTTCTCACCAAGAGGCACGCAGCCATCCACAAGCACATCAAGTCCAAGAGTTGGTTCCTCTCTACCCCCTGTCTCGTGCACGTGATCCCAGACGCCCTTGTATCTGGTTGCAAAACACAAGCATGAAGCACAACAAGTTGCACAACGTAATTAACGTGCAGTAAAAAAACCAAGCATGTGAGATAACCTTTTAAAGAGAACAACAACACTCCATGCGCCAGACATTTTAATCAGCCACAACAGCTGCGCTTTGCCAGGGGGGTAAACACCTTAGAAATGTGAAAGCAGCGATTTTGTGACGGAGGAGGAACCATACCCACAAAGAAAATAGCTGCCCCAGCTGTGGTTGCTTGTGTCAACTTCCTGCAAGGCAATGAACTCAAACATTATGCTTGACTAACAAAACAGGCTGGATCAACAGGCTTCACGGACAGCTGGTCGACTTAGACAGGTCGTCCTGACAATCAGATAAAATCGAGCGTCTGTGGGCTGAGTTATATGCGGCCTGAGCTTGATGGGCCGTGAGCTTCGAGCTACCTGCTTGGCGTGGATGCTGAACTCCGTGGCAGGGTACTTGGCGGGGTCCATGTTCGCCACGCGCAGGCGAGGCGGGAAAGGCGAGTCATCCTTACACGCAGATGTCTCCATGCTTGGCGTCCGTGCACAGCTGATGGCGACAAGGGTATCCAGGTGAATGGCCATGGGCAGCACCGCGTACCCCTCGTAGTCAATGTGCTCGCCGATGAGATTCACACGCCCTGCGTCCAGCCGGGCTCAGACATGCGGCATGTTTTGTCATTTACCGTGAAGGCGACGATGACTCAAGGGTTTGACCTCTCTACAAAAACGGAACAGCTCTTCGTACTGTTCAACCTCACTATCCCACATACCTGGTGCTCGAGAGATAAGCATCGGCTCTTTGCCGTAAAGTAGTTTGAATGCATCGCGTACTGCAACCACGCGGTCAGAATATGCAGAGACCCGAGAGGAGTGGACGTCGGATTCTTCAAAAATTGCAGCAGCCATGGTCCCTATGTTTGTGAAGAATGCTACCGAGTCTTCCTGCAGCGGTTGCGCAGATGATGCCATCACAGATGGCTAGGCCGAGGAGAGAATTCACTGCTCGTGTGGACGGTCGTAAAGGCGCTGGAGTGTGTAGCAGTGCAGCCCGAAACAGGTGCTGCACGAATACAAACATCTGTATGCATCCTCGAATGCTCGAACGGGGAAGTTCAAGCAGCCATCGTACTGAAACGAATTGTCTGATTTGTAAACCTTACTGTAACAGATTTCATCCCCGAAATAAGAGCGTTCAAACAACAAAATTTCGGGTTATGGAGGTGATGCGCCCTTACTGTGTCACAAGATGGAGCTTGTAACCCAACCCAAGGGACCACAGCGATAGCAGAAAGGTTCTTACAACTGCAACAATCACTACTACTTCAACCGACCTAACTTGGTATGCATAATAGTAACAAGAAAAGCTGGCATCTGGAAAAATATATTGTAGTGAACGTTAGACAAAATGATCTACTTTCCCATGATTTCCTTCACAGCGCATATCTGCTCCTCACCCATAGAGCTCATTACAGTAAGCACAAGGTCCTTGCCTTCACCAAAACCATCCTTGATCTGCAAGTTCAGATGTAGAAGTGAGCACGCTATGGAAGACATGGTACAAAACAGAAAAATCGGCCTTCAAGACGAAGGAAGTCATACCTGTGAGAGGATAGCGTCATCGGTCGGGAGGCGAAGATCGTCCTTCGTGTCACCCGTCTCCGTCAAAAGAGAAACCTGAAGCAACACGTCGCCAACTATCAGGGCGCCGGAACCAAGGTCCAAAATTAAATCCACGATACAGACTATCGACACTTACAAAGCCATCTTCCGAAATATCGATGAGTTGGTAGTCCGTGCGAACCACTTCTGGAACCTGGAAACCCAAAAACAATCCAATGAGAAACAAATGCAGGACTAACGAAGCACTGCTGTGCAAACAAACTCACGTCGCAGTTGTGAGAAGACGGAACGATATCTTCCAGCTTCTTATTGGTGAATATATCAATCGCGACGAAGTGGCACTTCGCGTGACCGTGCTTCCCAGTCTTAGAGGTAGAAACCTCCACAACCTGTAGAATGTTCCACCATGGAAACACGACACAGTCGTAAACCGAAAACTACCTGAACCCCTATGAGGAGAAAAAGAGGCCACCAGAAGCAAGCAACCTCAAAGCCCCTGACCTAACTTGGATCTCCCTCGTCCCGTACCTTGCAAGGTCGTCCCTTGATTACAAGGTGGCCGCCCTTGCGAATGGCTCCAGCCTGTTGCGGGAACGTCTTCGATGCGCCAGCATCGGCGGAATCAAAATGGTGTTCCTCGTCAGACATCCTGCCTTCCTGCCTTCGAGCTACGGGACGAGGAGAGAAGCAGCGGGGAGGCTGGCTAGACACCCTCAGGACTTGTCCAGAGAGCTTGAGAGAAAGGTGTGGGGTTTGTGGCTACCCACAAAAATGGGGAGACGAAGGAAGCTGACGAAGACCTCAGCGCAGGAAACTGCGATACAGTCGCGATTCAAGCTACATAAGAGAACACGCCGAAATGTCATGCTAATATAAAGGCTACGCTGATTGTTTTGCAAAAGATATGGCTTCAATCTTAATACAATGTACCGGTATGGGTCAACCACCTAAAAGCTGCAGTACAGTAAAAAAATGATAAAATTTCATCATTATTTCATATTTCCGTATGATTTATGCGGTAAGACTTGGCACTTGGCAAACCGTATGTACCGTAAGCCCCCGGATAGAAGCGCAGGCCTCGGATAAGCGCCGGCGCTTATAAAAGGATGAGGGCGCTTATATCCGGTCCTCGATTATAAGCACACCCCTGAAGGCTTACGGATTATAAGCGCCACCCTCTTCTTTTTTATTATAATTTTACTGAAATCGTTGTAACGAAACTCAACATTTTCATTCCCACATTTTGAATTTCGATGCCCCCTCACCCTCGCCCGGTGTCAGAACATTATAGCTTACTCATTTGTGTAGGCTGTAGTGGGGTATCCCATAGGGGGTACAACCCAGCTAGGGTTTCCTATTTGTACTCACTTCGTTCATAGTTCACACATTCTCTCGTTCTCTTCTTCACATGGAATCAGAGCAGGTTCCCTTGTGGGAACTGTGCTTCGGGCCCACCACCTAGAACTTTTTTCTGCCCTGGCGCCCGCCCTAGTGCCCGCCCTAGCGCCCGCCCTAGCGCCCGCCCTTTCGAGCCGCCCGTTCGCGCCGCCCGTTAGCGCCGCCCGTTAGCGCCGCCCGTGCGGCTGCCCCTTCGCGCCGCCCTTTGCGCAGCCCGTAGCGCCGCCCGTGCGGCCGCCCGTTCGCGCCGCCCGTGCGGCCGCCCGTAGCGCCCCCCGTGAGCCGCCGCCCGTAGCGCCGCCCGTGAGCCGCCGCCCGTCGCCACCCTTTAACGCCCGCCCGTCACGCCGCCCGCCCGTGAGCCGGCGCTGCCCGCGAACCGCCCACCCGTGGGCCTTCAGCCCGCCCGTGAGCTGCCGACGCCGCCCGTGAGCAGCCGCGCCGCCGCCGCCACCCGTGAGCCGCCGACGCCGCTGCCGTCGCCCGTGAGCCGCCGACGCCACCGCCGCCGCCCTTGAGCCGCCGACGCCGCCGCCGCCGCCCGTGAGCCGCCGTCGCCCGTGAGCTGCCGACGCCGCCGCCGCCGCCCGTGAGCCGCCGACGCCGCCGCCGCCCTTGAGCCGCCGACGCCGCCGCCGCCGCCCGTGAGCCGCCGTCGCCCGTGAGCCGCCGACGCCGCCGCCGCCGCCCTTGAGCCGCCGACGCCGCCGCCGCCGCCCGTGAGCCGCCGTCGCCCGTGAGCCGCCGACGCCGCAGCCGCCGCCCGTGAGCCGCCCTGGCCGCCCGCCCAACCGCCCGTGAGCTCCCCGCGCGCCGTCCCAGCCGCCCGTGAGCCGCCACCGAGCTGCCCCAGCCGCCCGTGCCGCCGCCCGAGCCGCCTGAGCCGCCCGAGCCGCCCGAGCCGCCCGAGCCGCCCTAGCCGCCCGAGCCGCCCGCGCCGCCCGAGCCGCCCGAGCCGCCCGAGCCGCCCGAGCCGCCCGAGCTGCCCGAGCCGCCAGAGGAGCTGCTCTCCTGCTCCTGTCGGGCTACTGCTGCTCCTGGACTATGCACCTGCGCCGCTGACCTACCCGACTCTTCCTGCCCGGTGAGACTGTCAGCTGCTGTCATGGCCACCCCCAATGTCCTAGCTTTTGACGCTGAGGGTAGAGCCATTGACTTTGCAGTCTGGATTGAGGACCTGCAGCTGTACTTACTGTGTGATGCGGTCGATGAGGTCTCTCTCTTTGACTTTGTCTCTGGCGCTGTCCCTGCCCCTCCTCCTGATGCTGATTCCGCCGTTCGCTCCAAGTGGGCGACCCGCGATGCTGCTGCACGTCTTGCTGTGCGTCGCCACCTCCCTTCCTCCGAGCGTGCCCACTTTAGTCAGTGCAAGACCGCTCAGGCCTTGTACGACGCTGTAGTTGCACGCTACTCCTCCCCTTCCTCCGCTACGCTGAGCCGCCTCATGCTACCTTTTCTCTTCCCTGACCTCGCTGCCTTTCCCACTGTCGCTGACCTCATTACCCACCTCCGCGCTAGTGACGCTCGCTACCGCGCTGCCCTTCCTGCTGAGTTCCGCGCCGCCAACCCTCCTCCCATGTACATCACTCTCTACTTTCTTGTCACCCGTCTCCCTGAGTCCCTCCGTGTCGTTAGGGACCAGTTTCTCTCTGTCTGTCCCACCACCCTCACTGTCGACCTCCTTGAGGAGTCCCTGCTAGCGGCTGAGAAGAGCATAGTCGCTGTAGGGGCCTCTCGGGGTGACCCTCGCACCCCCATCTTTGAGGGGTGTTCTCCTTCCCCCCTGCTGCCCTCTGTCGCCTCTGCCGCTGCGGCCGACCTCGCTGGTTTTGAGTCGGTCGGTGCGGCGTCTGCCCCCAGCGGTAGGGGGGCCTGTCCTGTCTCGCTACTCTCACGCCGCTGAGTCGGCCGGTTGCGGTGTCCCTGGCTGACCCCTCTGGGGGGCCTGTCCTTTCTCGCTTCTCCACGGTACTTCCGTGTCCGGCGGCCCCCTCTGGCACCCTGTCTGGTCTCTACCTCCCCTCGTTCTCGACGAACCTGGTGAGTGGTGCTGACCTACAGGATGCGGGTGTCCACCAGTTCACTCCTGCTCGTCAGCGGGTGACCCACTGCACGGAGGCTAGAACGGGACGCCACCTGGCTACGTTTACACGTCGGCCAGGGTCGAGCCTGTACACACTGACCACTGCTTCTCCTCCAGGTACTGAGTCTGGTACGGTCCCTTCGTCTGGTCAGGTGTTTGCAGCAGCGTCCAGGTCTGGTCCTGAGTCTTCCCCCTGTTCGTGTCGTCGTCTGTCTCACGAGACCCTCCTCTGGCACCACCGCCTTGGCCACCCCTCTCTGCTTCGGCTCAGAGGCATGGCCTCCCGTCTTCTTGTGTCTGGTCTCCCCCGGTCCCTACCTCCCCTTCCTCAGGGCCCTGGCCCTGCCTGTGTCCCCTGTGTCGAGGGGCGCCAGCGTGCTGCCCCTCACTCCTCCCAGTTTCCTCAGACAGAGGCCCCGCTGCAGACACTTCACATGGACGTGTGGGGCCCGGCCCGCGTCCTTGGACAGGGTCAGGAGCGCTACTTCCTGCTTGTTGTTGACGACTACTCGCGTTACACCACAGTCTTCCCCTTGCGCAGCAAGGGTGAGGTTACTGAGGTGCTGATCGACTGGATCCGCGCAGCTCGTCTTCAGCTCAGGCAGAGCTTTGGCTCCGACTTTCCTGTGTTGCGTCTGCACTCTGACAGAGGCGGAGAGTTCTCCTCTGGCCTTCTTCGTGCCTACTGTCGAGCGCGAGGCATCCGCCAGTCCTTCACGCTTCCGGACTCCCCACAGCAAAATGGGATTGCTGAGCGCCGCATTGGCATGGTCATGGACGTCGCCCGTACGTCCATGATGCATGCGGCTGCCCCCCATTTTCTGTGGCCGTTTGCGGTCAGGTACGCAGCGCATCAGATCAACCTCCACCCCAGGGTCTCCAGGCCGGAGACCTCCCCAGCCCTGCTGTGGACGGGGAAGGTTGGCGATGCGTCGGCGTTCCGGGTCTGGGGATCTCGGGCGTTTGTCCGCGACTTGTCTGCGGACAAGCTGTCCCCTCGCGCTGCTCCCTGCGTCTTCCTGGGGTTCCCCCCCGACGCCCCTGGGTGGCAGTTCTACCACCCCACCTCTCGACGTGTTCTGTCCTCCCAGGACGTCACGTTCGACGAGTCGGTACCCTACTACCGCCTCTTCCCCTACCGCACTCCGTCCCTCCCCCCGCCCCCGCTTTTCCTGGTACCAGGTCCCCCCCCGGTAGACCCCCTCCCCCCTCAGGGTCCTGCCCCGTCAGGTGTGTCCCAGGTAGATGCGGTCGAGCCTGTCGAGGTCAGTGGTGACTCTGGTGCTGCTGCGGGAGCTGAGCCTGGGGGTGCGGAGTCTGGGGGTGCTGAGCCTGGGGGTGCGGAGTCTGGGGGTGCGGAGTCTGGGGGTGCTGAGTCTGGGGGTGCTGCGCCTGGGGGTGCTGAGCCTGGGGGTGCTGAGCCTAGGGGTGCTGAGCCTGGGGGTGCTGTGCCTGGGGGTGCTGTGCCTGGGACTGCTGTGCCTGGGAGTGCTGAGTCTGGGGGTGCTTCGTCTCGCCGGGAGCCACTCTCCCCGCAGGAGCTGCGTGAGTGGTTTGCCAGGCGCTGGAGGCGTGCTGCTAGTGCTGGTGGTTCTTCGGCTGCAGAGGGCACTGCTGCCGCGCGTCCCGGCGGTGCTCGTCCTGTGGGTGCTGGAGCTGTTGGGTCTGCGAGTTCTCCTGGAGCTGGTGCTGCTGAGGGTGTTGGCGCTGAGCCTACTGCTGGCGGTCCGACTGACAGTGCTCCTGGTGCTGCTGCTGGAGGTTCTGGAGCTTCTGGTGGTGCTGCTGGAGGTGCTACTGGAGTGGGTGCTCCTGCCGAGGGTGCTGGTGCTGTTCCTGCTGTTTCTGGGGTCGCCGCGCGGCCCCGACCGTACTTCGTTCCGCTCCTGCAGCAGGTTCTTGGTCTTCCACTTTCTCCTCCTCCCTTAGAGGGTCCGCAGCCTGTCCGGTCACAGCCACAGCTACAGCCTGCCTCCCCTTTGCCTGCTCCTTCTCCCTACGCTGGTCCGACTGGAGGTCTTACTGAGCGTCGTGAGCCTGCGTCTCGTCCTGCGTCGCCTGTTCGTCCAGAGCGCGCTAGTGGTCGCGGTTCGCGTCAGCGTCCTCCTCCTGTCCCTGGCACGCACCGGATGTCTCTGCGTCCGTCCACTGCTCCTCTGCGTGCCCC